ATGCCTTCTCCCACGGTCGTGCTCGGCCTACCCGCGCCCCATGGACGTTTTCCCGCGGTCGCGTCTCCTGCAGTCAAGGCAAACCAAAAAAACGTTCCAGAACAGCCCCGTTCGCTCATACAAGCAGTTGTGCGACTGATACACCTCCTGGAATGACTAAACCCTTCCATAAACAACTAGTTTGCTCCATCAGCACCCAAAGATCTGAAATCGAAGACAAGTCATTGCCCTGCCACATGGCCTTGTCTTGTAAAGATGAGTATGAACAACAATACTCTGAAGATGAAGAGTATGGGTTGTTTGTAGAAGATCCAAACGCAGGATATTCCTCAGAAGACAGTTCAGGAGAAATTCAATGGATCACTAACAATATCAGTAGGGAGAAGCTCACAGAGTTCAACAATATGGTCAGGTCATTTCCTGCTCACCTAAGCTTTGATGAAATCTGGAAGCTTGGTCGTTTGCAAGTCTGTTTCAGGTACTACAAGGAGTCTAAAGAGGATATCCATAGATACTTTATGCGAGCTCGATACATGACATCACCAGAAGCAGCTGTCTATGCGATTCACCTTCAAAAACCTGAAAAATGTAGCCACTACACCAACAAAATCAGCAAAGAAAAGCTTGACGAATTCAATGATGTATTTCGAAATTTACCTGAAGGAATCACCTTTGCCAGAGCTTGCAAGGACTTCATGATAGGCTATTACTTCTGTGAGAGCAAGGAATCAATTCCTGAAATAGAAGACTTGTTCAATCATGCCAGAAGAGGTAAACCTGTTCGAACACTTCACAAAATCGAAGGTGCAGGTCAGTTTCTCATCTCTTGTTCAATTAGAGGTGAAATGTTTAAAAACGTGCTTAGTGATTCTGGAGCTTGTCTTAACATGATATCCAAGGCAATTGGTTTGAGACTTGGTATTAAGCACCTGTGCAGGACTAGAGCAAGTCTAGCTGATGACTCCAATGCAACACTTCAAGGAATAGCTCATGACATTCCTTTGAGAATAGGAGATTGCATCGTGCATGTCGACTTCTACATTGTCGAAACGAGAGACGCAACACATCCAGTGATTCTCGGATGGTCTTTTCTAGCAACTTCCGAAGCTATAATGGACTGGCCATACCGGAGGATTTCATTTGCTAATATCGACAAATATGTCTTCACAGAAGCTGTCCCATACAACAGCAAAACAGGAAAACGTTCTGCAACAGAAGAGTTTGAAGAAGAACTTTGGAGTGACGAAGAACCTGGTAGGCAAAGCAAGGAGATGTCAAAAAAGACTTGTCTCAGGACAAGGTCTTCTTCATTGGACTAAGCCACTTCTAACACCAAAGTCGAGCTAAACGACTTAAAACAGAAGCGCTTAATGGGAGGCAACCAATTTAGGTATTGTTTTCTTTAGGATTTTTCTTTCTTTTTCTATTGATCTTTTTCTTTTTCTTAGTTCAGGTGTTTCTTATAAAACAAAAAAGCCAAAAAAAAAACAAAAAAAAAAACCGACAAGACCAAAAAGAAGGATGGTCCCTGACTGCTCGGCCTAGCAGGAACCAAGAAGAAGCAGGAAATAGGCTGCGATATAAGCCCCCGCGGTCGCAGGCGTTATGACCGCGGGAAACAGCTCTTCGATAGCGGTCGCATCTTTCTGACTGCGGCCGAGCACCACTTTACCGCGGTCGCTTGACCTCTGACCGCGGCAAATGGTCGTTGACATGATACCCGACCACAAAAACCCACTTCACCTCATTCCACCTCACCAAGCCCCACTCCACCTCATTCATCACTTCCCACCACCTTCATCACCACCTATCACCTTCCCAAAACCTCTTCGAATGAATCCGGTCCATCTCCACCAGCATCCCGGATCCAGGTAAGTTCTCTTTGGCCTTACCAATTCAATTATCTATGCATTTTTCTCATCCAATCTCGACTTGTTTCACACTGAGGACAATGTGATTTAAGTCTGGGGAGGGATTTCATCCCTTTCTTACTACTTTTCTTTCATGAGTCTTGCATTATCTACACTTTTTGCATTTTCCTTAAAGTTTTTCAAAATCGGTTTTCAAAACAAAATACGTTTTAAAGGGAATGGTGAACATGAATCGATGATAGTTGACTGTGTGCTTTTAAACTGTTCCTAGTGACATGATCATTCATGATTTAGGACAAGACTAAGCGGTAGCTAAGCACATTTGAAATGAAGTACCCCAGAGGAATTTGAATGATTTTGATTTAGATGAAGGAATACACTAGCTCTGTTTTATTTGGACTTAAATTGGACTTAATTCTCTCATTGAAGCATTAGATCAGGGAAACGAATCATACATTCAGGACTCCTTTACCCTTTTTACCACTCTCAGTTGATCCTGAATGGCTAGTTCATCTTTAGCTACATCCCCACCTTAACCAGTCCTCTTTCAAACCACATGCACTCTTGTTTTCCACTGTCTTATATGCAGATATGTGTAAAAACATTGGAGAGAAAGAGGAATGACGCAGTTTTCAGTCTCCAAAGACAGAGACCTGCGATTTGCCAGAAAAGTTCCCAGAAGGATTCAACTCAAGAGGAAGCTCAGTTTGCCTTAGAAAAATCTCAAATTTTGGTACAATCTCGTCCTCTAGTCTCTCTCTCTTTAAAAGGCATTTCCTTTCTAAAAAAAATAAAATTCTGAAAATAAGAAAGGAAAGGAAATAAAAGCCTTAGAGAGTTTAGAGAGGTCGAATTTTAAGTCCTTAGGCAACTGGATTTCGATTTTATGGAGTTTTAGAGATAATTTTCTGATTCCCGGAAAGAATCTAAGTCTGGGGGAATAGCTGTTTACAACAAAGGAGGAAAGATTATGCAACAACACTGGACAAGAAGAAGTGACTGAAAATCGCGGTCATCAACAGGTCCTTATCTCTCTTGCGGTTTTGAATATTATCTTGCATCCTCCAGATTCATCAGGTAACCTGAAACACTTTAACTCCACCACTTAAACAGCCCTTTAATGCCAAACGCCGTCTACCCAGGATGATGTCTTTAATGAGAATTCACTATTTCACTTAATGAATGTAGAGAGCTAGTTGACTAGAATCAAGATTTAGATTGTTTAAGTTTTGCATGATGGAAAAAGTGGACTAGTATCTTTTGTGTAATGGTGAGAATTTTCTAGACTAACTTATGGATTGATGCACGATCTTTGGTCCTAGTTTAGGAGTTCATGTCTCTGAGATTTATGCATTCCCTATTTTTGTTTTCACTTAGCCAGTTTAGACTTTTGCTTTGTTTGAGGACAAACAAAGGTTTAAGTCTGGGGGAGTTGATAACACCGTATTTTGACCACTTTTTGAAATAATTTTTCTATGTTTTTAATTACTTTCTAGTACTTTTATTACATTTTTCTAGTATTTTTAGTCCCAAGACTCTTTTCAGAAAACTTAGGGAAAAGCTTAACAAAATGGATAGAAGACCAGATTTTTAGCTCAGAGTCAAACCGTCAAAAGTTCACCCCCGATTGAAGGCCTTCTCATCGTCTGATCCAGCTCAAATTTGTAGATCTCAAAGATGGAAGTATTAGCTTTCCAGCACACTTTACAGCTTGGAAATCCAACGGTTCAATCAAAAGATATGCGAAGAGCAAGATGTCTCGTAAACCACCAGGCAAGCGTTTCCACCCGCGGCAACAGGCCATTCCCCACGGTCACAAGCTCCCCGACCGCGGCCAGCCATCCATTCCCCACGGTCAAGCACATCCCAACCGCGGCCAGCTAACTCCGAGTTCGAAGGCTCATTTCTGAAGCCCGTATCATTTTCTCGGTCTCAATTCCGGAACCCTAGACACCAGAGAGTATTGGAGAATATAAATACATATCATTTAGGTCGTTTTTAAAGAGAGAAGAGGAGAGACGAAATACTTTACAGAAATTTTACTTTAAGCTTTGTTTTTAGATTTTAGAGAGAGAGAGATCTATCTCTGGAACCCCTGTTCTTTCTTTTTCAATTTCGGTTTCTGTACTACTTTTTCATACTATGTTTTTGATTTCGTTTATCATGTCTGAGTAGTTTTATTGTTGGGTCTAAGGGATTTTCGATGGGGATATATATGTTCGGTGAGGATTCCATGAGCTATTGAGCCGAATCTTAGAACTTTTTCTTCTGAATTCGTTTTTACTACATGAGAGTAGCGTCATGAACTACAATCTGATCCACATGCTTGGTAACACAAAAGTGTTCATCCGGTGTCAGATCTAGGTTGGGAGAGCAAAACAAACATAGGAGTGGAAACCTACCTATGGGCGATTTGTGAATGGTGACAAGTCTTAAACATAATGCATCTCTTCTTTTCCAGGGCTAGAGTGGAACCCTACTGGTCAGGGTTGAGAGAGATAGTTGTCTATGATCACGACAGTGGCGTATTCATACGTCCGTGACTCCAGTTCGAAAAGTTTAAGCTAAGATCTTATCAAATTTACTCTCTAGCTATGTTTTGAATCGTTCATACCCCTGAGAAAACTTCCTTGAACCCCAGCGCTTTCTTTCCTATAGATTTACACCGATTTTTATTCAAGTTTTAGTCTAGTATTTTCATTCTCCCAATCGATTTTTATTAAAGCAATTAGGTTTAGCTGTTTTTCTCGTTTTTACTTGTTTTCATTAAGTTTAGTTATTAGGTCATTTTAATTCCCGTATTTTCTCTTTAAGATTTGTTATTACGTTTTAAACACACCACCAAAACCCTACCAAAACTCGCCTGGTTCTAGACTTCCATACTTTATATTTCTTTCGAAGGCTTTTGCAGGAAAGATCCTCTTTCCCTGTGGATTCGATCCCAAAGTACTACAATCGATCAGCTGTGCACTTGTGGCTATTGATTTCATTTAGGGTAAAACTTGACAACTCTCGACACACATCAAGTCACACATCAACAAGGCCCCACAGAAGGAGAAGAAGGTTGTGCAAGAGAAGAAGAACAAAAGAAGTGATGAAGAAGAAGCCTCAAGAGAAGATGGGAAAAAAATGCGGAGAAGTAAAGGGAAAGAGATAGTGAGTGAGGAGGAGACTGAGGATGTTTCGACTGATATGGATGTTAGATTACAAGACGTAAGGAGAAAGAGAAACCATAAAGGTGATACTAGCGGTGATAGAGCCTTGGAGAGACAACTTTGGTCCTCTGGATTAGTGACTCTGTTTGAGAGTTTGAGTTCTAAGGTGGACGCTATAGACAACAACTCAAAGTTTGATCAAAAATTATTTGAAGTTTGTGTCCTTGTATCAGAAGATTGGAAATGTCGAGAGTGATGTAACGAGGATGAAGCAAGCTCGAGGAACAGAGGATGTAGCTGATGTTGCTGAGGACGGTCAGTCTGCTGCCAGTGATGGTGATGATGTTGGTGATGACAATAACGAGCAGGTAAGTGTTTTCTATTATAGACTCTAAGATCTCTTTTCACAGTTATTAATAATACGAATGGACGACCAAATTGTACTCATGAACTTAATTTTTTTTGGCAGAAAGATACTTAGCGGTTACCGGAGAGAATTTGAACCATGCTAGGGACATCTGATAAATCGAATGAATGGATTGCAAATGTTTTTTCCCTTCTATTTTTTTCCTTTGTTTTATGTTCGTTTTTCATCTTGTTTTGATTGTCCCTTCTCTCCTTGTTTTTTGTTTTGTTGTGGTTGGATATTTGTTTGGTTTTGTCTTCTGTTTACTTTGGATAAAGGGATAGAAGTTGGTTTGAAAATTTGCTATACGATTAGTAGTAGTAGTTTTTGTTTATAGTAGTAGTTTTGTTGTTATGTGCTAACTTTGTCCATTGTTTTTAACAGTCTTGGGTTTTAAAAATGAAGGAAACATCCGAAGATTCATTTCAGGTAGCTTGTTTGGTGAGGAATCCAAAAGCTACCCCAACAACTCCCCGAGAAATAAAGAAAGAACCAGAAGAGAAGACTCCAAAATCAGGAAAACGTAATGGCTCTTCGAAGAAAAAAGTGGGAAAAGAAATTTTGGATTTGAAGAAAAAGGAGGCGCCTGCAGTATCTATTTCTGAAGGTTTAGTATCATTTGGAGAACACTCGAAGGGATTTGGTCTGGCATTGGATAAGCTACTTGCAATGACAAGGAGGGATGATTGCGTTATGAGACAGGAATGTGTCGCTATAGATAAGCATAACATCTCCCTTGTGGCGTCTCAAAGAAGCCCTTACATTGGCAACTCTGGCGTCAAACGCGTTATGTTTGGGTGTCACCCATCAAATGATTCATACAATCCCTTTGAGAAGGTTTTGGCATCAAAGGTGGAGAAGCTTATGGCGTTCATTAATCATGATATGTAAGTTTTCTGCTATCTACAAATTAACTTCTATAACTGAAGTTCTCTGCAATTTGTTAAATTTACAACTACGTATAGGGACAACCCTTTACCTAGTAGCAATGCAAATTTAAAGTTTTATGTTAAGATCATGACTCCTAAAGAACTTTGGCCGAAAACAGACCACGAATTCGGGTGGCTAGGAGATATGGTATGACAACTTCAAAGGATATTCTGGGTTTCATATTTCATATTACTCAGTTAGCAGCTTCTAATCCTTATGTTTTTTTTTTCAGCATTTGTGCTCTGCAATGCATATGCTTTGAATGAGGTCTATGCGAGAACATACTCCCTTTAGGACGGATATGATAGCATTCCTTGACCCTTGGTTTTTGAGCCAATGGTGTTTTGACTACAAGAACAACTTCGAAGGGAAAGAGAAGAATTGGATGTTTCCGGAGCTTTATTTTCAAAACTAGAACGGTCAGTATCCAAGGTATAATATAACAAACAAGAAATGGGTGGAGGATGTTGATTTGTTATATCTCACGCACAATGTGGCTGAATTTCATTGGGTTGCACTTGAGATCGAGTTAGTTGAACGTCGTATTAAGATCTTCGACAACATTATCAGCTACCAAAGTGATGACCAGATTTTCAAGTCATGCAAACCTTACGCTCGAATGCTACCTCTACTACTCCATGCTGCAGCTGCTCCAGATGTGAAAAAAAAAAAGATTGGAACAAAATCGTTTGTGCTGATATGTTTATAATTTGCATCATTTAGGTTGTATATTCCATTCCAAAGCATATCTTATTCCATGCATTTTAGGTCCTTAGGCAGAGCCGTGCTCACCTTGTGTTTAAAAAGGCGGCTGCCTTAGGCCACCATGATATATCTAAATTTTGTGGTATGAATTTTAAATTTTAATTAGAAATAAGTTATTGTGTATGTGTAAATAGTATCTCTTTTATTAGTTTTTCATTGATGATTTCTATAAACATAGTGAAGTTAGGCTTAAATCGTTCTATGTTTAGTCATTATTAGTTTTCACATATAAAATTTACTTTACTTGTCCAAAGTTGATTTTCTTTTTATTATGTTTTCTATTACTGTTTTTTTTCTTCTCGTACATTATTTTTCATATATAATTCATATAATTCACTTTATTTTATATTTTTCGTTTTTAAAAAAATACAATTTGATCAACACAGATGTTATAAATAACACATTTACATACTCTTGTAATAATATCTTTTAATATTGAAATTTTATTTGATATAGTAAACTGTATAGTTTGTCTCTAGACTGAAAATATTGAATGTAGCATTTTTATAATATTGGATGTATTTTACTAGGTGTTTCATGTTTTTTATTAACATTTTTTTGTATAGAGGCCACATTTTTAAATTTCGCCTTAAGCCCCTTCAAACCTAGACACGGCACTGTCCTTAGGGCTTGTTTTAGGACTTAGGAGATGCATTAGGTCCAAATGATTCTTTGCATGTTTTGAGTGTTTACCAGGTGCAATTAAAGCTATTTGGAGTTGAAGAGATAGATCCAGGAAGAGAAATGGTGATCAAGGGTTGAAAAATGGCAAAAATGGGTTTTTGGAGGTTCTCGGCCATTCTCGCGCACCAGGAAGGTTTTTCTCGGCCATTCTCACGTACCGCGGGTGGATTTTATCGGCCAAAACGCGTACCGGCTAAAGGATTTCTCGGCCAAAATCTCCGGGTGCAGACACGTTTCCGAAATTGCCTGTCCGGGGAACCTTCCGGTCCGATTCAGTTGTCGGGTGATTCATCAAAGTTGGATAGGATTGGATCACGATTCCAGAGAAAGTGGAATCGTGGAATTCGGACACGTGAGCAGAAAGTTAAGCTCGTCGGAAGAAACTCCTGTCTCGCTGCCGTTTTGGACCGACCCGATGAGCTCTGAAGAATGCGAAGGACGGTGAACTTCCAGGCCGATTCAGTTTCCGGGGCCTTCATGAGAATCAGAGATCTTTGCGTCCTCTTTCCAGAACGTCCAAGATCATTCAATTCGGAGCTATGAGCAGGAAGATAACGTTTCCGGAATGGACACATGTCTAGACGCCTCTCTCTGATCGTGTAAATGCACTGAGAAGGTGAGCCCTCCAGGAAGCCTTCCACTTCCCAAGCATCAAAGCTTCCTTCACCAAAATTGGAGATATATGAGTCTTCTGTCCTCTTCAGTCGGAATCACACAATTCGGACCAATATCCTGGAAGTTAAGCCTTCCGGAAGGCAAAGAGGTCCAAGCAGCCCAGAACGATGCGAGCTAAGTGAAAGATGCCACGATGGAACGCCACGGCCCACACTTGGCCGTGGCAGTTAATTGCAATCCTTCGGCGTTTGACACGATCTTCATGCCACGGTCTACACTTGACCGTGGCAAACTAACATTTGGCTGAGAAGGACTTTACAAGCATTCGGCACTTGACACGGTTTCAATGCCACGGTCTAGGACTTGACCGTGGCAACTTTGTGCAAACATTCGGCGTTTGACACGATCTTCATGCCACGGTCTACACTTGACTGTGGCAAAGTAACATTTGGGTGGGAAGGACTTTAAAAGCATTCGGCACTTGACACGGTTTCAATGACACGGTCTAGGACTTGACCGTGGCAACTTTGTGCAAACATTCGGCTTTTGACACGATCTTCATGCCACGGTATACACTTGACCGTGGCAAAGTACCATTTGGCTGGGAAGGACTTTACAATCATTCGGCACTTGACAAGGTTTCAATGCCACGGTCTAGGACTTGACCGTGGCAACTTTTTACATCCTTTCGGCGATTGACACGGTCTGAATGCCACAGTCTAGGACTTGACCGTGGCAACTTTTCAAAAACTTTCGGTGTTCGACACAACCACTTGCCACGGGTATTGGACCAGACTTGCTAGACCGTGGCACCAAGATTTATCCAAGAACACGCAAACAAGACTTTGACACGGTCACTTGCCACGGCCTGACCAAGAACATGCTAGACCGTGGCAAACTCATCTTTTACCCACCAAGGCCGGGTCAGTACCCGGTTTGTTCCGGGTTGCGGTTCGTCTAAGGCATCTATAAATACATTTTAGACCTAATTTGGAGATAACTTTTATCCCATTTTTAGTCTCTTTTCCTTCTTGGTGAAAAACCACTTGTTATACCTTGCTTTTGAGTTTAAAATCGATTTAGAGAAGTGTTTTCCCTTTTATCTATCATCTCCATCTCTATTTATCATCATTAATCATGCCAATCTTCTCAACTTGCAAAGGTTTAAGAGAGATTAGTATGATTAGTGAGTAGTCACTTTAATGAGGTTCTAGACGTGTAGGTTAGGGTGCTAAAGTGTTAGATTAGGAGTGCTTAGGGCTAGATTCACTGATTCATTTCTCTAAACAGCTGTTCTCTATGCTAGATCCTTGCATATCACTTGAGATCTAGATTCTGGGAATTTCATGCACCAAAAGTGTTTGATGAAATTCCTGAAAAAGCTATATTAGAGGTTTAAGCATTTGCTGCATGATGATGTATTGTTATTTGCTTGAATGATCATTAGAACTGTTTATTAATGTATATTGATTCATATTTCACAAATGATGATTTGGTTTGAAAATGGATTAGTATAGGGGTTAATACCTTCATGAGAGGATTAACCTAGATTAGAGTTCTTAATCATTTGAATCATGTCTCATCATTGTCATTAGTATTTCTAGTTTAGCACCAAAGCACCCTAACCAACTATCATGTCTAGAATCTCATGCCTCCATCATATCATATTCATATCATTTGTCATTGTCATTAGTCTTTAATCCTGTTTTTAAGTTTCTAGTTGTCATTAGATAATCAAAACCACTCTTGTTTCCTTGAATTAAGAATCTGATCACATAGTTTAGTGTCTAACACCACATATGGATTGATAAACCCCTTGTACTACAAGACAGGGGATTGATAACCTCTACAAAGAGCTTTGAAAACTCTTAGTTATCATGTGCAATACAGAATAAAACAATTGCCATAGAACATACTGACCGGTGATTGCGGCATATTTGTTTTCAAGGTAGTCTGTTCGACGGTCTGAGTGATGCACTAGGTAGTCTGTTCGACGGTCTGAGTGATGCTACGATGCCAGCACTTCGATTGAAGCTTGTGGCAGAGATCTTTGACGAGGTACCCAATCAAGATTTGTTCGTCCAACTATCAGATCCCCACCCACGAGGAGAAAATGACGACAAGGTTCCTTTAGCTACAGATTCAGTTTTGTAGTTATATGTAATGTTGACTTCATCATTCGCTAATCTGTTATGTATTCCTGAGTATTGAGCTTGTTGTATTGAACTCTGTTATGTTGAAGTTATTAAATGGGAATGATTTTAGGATATCGTATGACGACAAAATTATATTATGTTCTTAATCAGTAGACGACAGTTTTATTATGAACATAACGACAGATTTCTGATGTACATAATTGATGACAGATATAAAGGTTACAAAGAAACATAGTTAATGATAGCATCACGACAGATTTAAGGATTATAAGGTGACAGAGTTATTGTTTGTATGATGACAGATATATGGCATAGTGTCGACAGTTTTAAAGAGTATAATGATTGCCGACAGGTATAAGATTTATTTGACAACAGATTTAGCAATAAGGTTAACATTACAAAGAACTATGGGTCAACATTTGATTGTCTTACACACAAAATAAATGAAAGTCTTACAATAAGGGAACAACAACAATATTGAATGCATACAAGTACTAGGCCTTCCAACATATTGAAAATTGAAGGGTGTAGCCGATTAGCTAAAAAACATAAAAGAGAAAGTAGAGATCACATTTTCTCTACTTGATCAAGCACACAAACAAACCAAAGGCAATGACTGCAACGATGACAGCGACGACCATTTTTGGCTCCTTACCTTCTCTTTTCTTAGAGTCGGAGAACTCCTTGAAACACTCAATAAAGTCCTTGTCTTCCAACAATGCATTCAACTTGAAAATATTGCTGTGTTGCTTGCCAACATAGCGAACATTTGCCTTCAATGCTTCAAAATCCTCCTTCATCTCGTTAAATTCCTCAGTTATCGCTTCATCCCACCATTTCCACACGTGAAAATTTCCATCCTTCATAAAGAGTAGTTAGTTAATATACAGAATCAACATACAACTCATTATGACACCTCCGGATCTTTATACAAGTCACCAACTCGATTGTGCTCGCACACGTAAAATCGCCGACCCCGTTTAGTGATAGTGTGCGACATCACAATGGACGTTTTACCACCACAGAAACACCTCGTCGGAATTCCGTGAAGTCCATGACGACGGCCGGTTGAGTTATCAGTGGATCTGAATGCAGTGTTGTTACTGAGTGCCATCGTGAGAGTAGTTTGTTTCGGTATGCAGAGAGAGTGAAGAACTTTGCGCCGAGTGGATAAGATTCCCGAGAGAGATAAAAAAAATCTAGGGTTTCCATTAATATAGGTGTCATACATAATGCAAAACGTGTCGTTTTTGCATTCTATATTGCAAAACGCGTCGTTTTTGTAAACTTAATGTAAACAATCACGACAGACATATTACAAGTTATATTATAACACATGTAATGACAGTTTTATCAAAACCAACAACATTTTTACGAAGTCAATAATGACAGTGTTAACATCATGCACAACAGATTTAGCAGAACACACAACTTATTTATCAGAACACACAACAGATTTAATCTAGAGGACATGTAAGGCGATTATGCCCACCACTGTTGCATTTCGAGCAAGTGCACATCTTCTGAGGTCGTTTTTTCTCCATAGCCACATCCAAAGCTGACTTAATCCTACTTTTCTTTGGTATTTGTGGCTGTTGCCGCACCGTATGAGGTAGACACACCTTTTCACAGAAGTTATTTGGAACAGGTACAGATATATCACAAGGCATTATGGACTTCGCGTACCCATTGCATAAGTAAGTAGTGTGATAATATGGGTGAGCCAAATCGATCTGTGACATCTTTTCAGCCTCTGCAGTTGCAATGGCATGCACGCAAGGGATTTTATCGACGTCAAAACGGCGACAAGTACATTTCTTTAGCAACAAATTGACAACATTTAGGGAAGACCCGCAAGTGACTTGTGCTTCATTGGCATCAATCTCCTGTACAGTGAGTTGGTTTGCCTGCTCTACACGACCCTGCAAAAAAATAATCTGCTCAACATGACTTTCAAAATGATAATGCAGTAAAGTTAGAGAAGTGAACAACTTACTTCTAACAACTTTTCAACTCCAATTGTTAAAACTGTTTTCATCTTTGCTGCAAATTTCCTCTTATAGGCAAGCCACCTAGTCATCATACAACGAATTTCATCTAGTAACAGACATACTGAATAACCCATTGCAGCTTTGAGAACCTTGTTCATGTATTCGGCATTGTTAGTTGTTGTAAAGTTATATCTATCTCCAGGGAAATGAACCCGGGTCCATTTTCGCAAATCAGCTTGTTGTAAATACATATACAGCTCTGGGTTGACAGCTTCAATTTACTCAAACATAATATTGTAATCAGCCAGGTTGTAAGCACATACAGCCTTCTTAACCAGTCCAAAAGAATCTGCGCCTTTAAATTCAGAAGTATATTCTTGTGTAAATGATACGTGCAGATCCCTTGACTAGCAAGTGGGTACACTTTTGTTATTTCCTGACCTATAGATCTATGACTGTCAGATATTATAGCTATCACATGGTCACCCAGAATAACAATGCTTAGCTGCCTAAAGATCCATTCCCATGATTCATGATTTTCAGTATCGACAACGGCAAAAGCTACGGGAAATATTGTGAAATTGCCATCTTGCGTTGTAGCAATAAGTAGTGTACCTTTATATTTTCCATGGAGAAATGTTCCATCGACGACAACAACTTTCCGCATAAAGGCAAATCCTTCTATGCTGGCTCCATAGGCAATGAAAACGTACTTAAAATAATTGTTTGCATCAACTTCTAGATTTGTATATGTCCCAGGATTTGTTCTCCTTATCCTATACAGGTATGTTGGAAGACCATCATAACTATTTTCTTCGGTGCCTCTCACCAACTCACGTGCTGTTTTAAGAGTCTGATGCTCTTTCCAGTAATCCATCTGGAAATGGTCAATTATAAACATTATAACCGAGTACTACAACACTCACAATAATCAAAATATTTCATTTAACTCAGTTTCTCTTACCTTAATGCCATATCTTTTGTTTAGTGAAGGAGCCACATGATTAGGCATAACTGTCGCATCAATACCACTGACGAACTCTTTGTACATGTGACCTAATATCTGGTGAGTTGCTTGTTGAGATCGAGATGAACGCTCTGTAACTGAGCAACTATGCTCTTTTATGTATATGCTAACATAAAACTTCCCACTGTTATCAATCGAAGTAGCTCGAACTCTCCATGTGCAACCTTCAACCCAGCACTTCACAGTAAACAATGACTGGGTAGATCGATCGACATCAAAATCAAAGTTATGTAGCACCGTTAGAATTTGCAATCTTGTCTATAAATCCCCTTTACAATTATATCGTTGCCCTACAGCCAAATCAAGCGAAGCTATTTCTAGTTGCTTAAACATATCATCAACCTCACGCAAGATCTTCTCTTTTTCTATTCCTAAGTTGATTTCCTCTTCTCCACCAACCTCAAAAGAGCTCCTATACTTGTTGTAGTTTTCATCATCTGAAGTAGCACCAACGATGTCATCACAGCAGTCAAATCTATATTCCTCATGTTCGTCACCAATGTCGTCGTCGATGCCTTTCTCATGTTTTGGGTGGTCTTTACCTGGAGTCTTTCCTCTTTATCTCCACCCACCCAATTTGCATCCTTCTTCTTTTTCTTCTTTACCGTAGACGCTTGGTAGATCTCTTCCTCGTCGCCGTCGTCTTTCCTCTCTTTCAACTTGACCCACAGTGGAACTTGCTCAGTTTTCCTTAACTTCAGATATCCAAGCAGTTGCCTTGAATTATTGATGAATACATGTGGTGTATCTACTGGTAATTTTACCAACATCTTCTTTGACAGGAGATATGACAATTCGATAACATAGAGCCGCTTATCTATCTCGTAATCCTCGAAGGTGGTTCTCACATTTAAATCTAAAACTCTACATCCCCTTTTTCATCAACGCCAAAAACCCATATTCTTCTCTTTTCTGTTTTCCATTTGTCGCAAACTAATACGATTTCTTTAGTTTCCTTGAAGTCAATCGTTTTTAGTGGATGAAGAATGACTGATTTCGAAGAAACCAAAACAGAGGAAGAAGAACGAGAACCAGATCTTCGATGAAACCAAGAAGAAGATGAAGGTCAAAATTGTCATTTCGCCATACAACGTAACTCTGCCACCAAAACCCCATTCAAGTCTATCACAATAGGAATTCCATCAAAACTTATGAACACACACCAATCGAACCTAACCCCTATGTATAGCTGTTTAACCAATTTTTTTTTATTGTTTACTTCAATGTTTACATAAATAACTTCATAAAAAAGATGTTAGGGTTGATATAACATCATATTAAACATTAAATCACAATTAAAAAGCGATAGATTTATTAAATCTGTCAATTCAATTATGTCACTTTGGGATGGGTTAGTCTAGTAAATTATAACTTTGTTGTATCGGAAGGTAATTAAATCTATCTTCATAACTTTTTAAAGCCAAATCTACCATCACGTTCATATAAGTCTGGCATGTCGTATTTATAAATCTGTCACCAGTAAAGTCCTACTTGAATAATTATAAAGATTCAAACAACTCTGTCAATACAGGACAATAACTCTGTCATCAGCGCGTAAATTTCTCCAGTCGTAAACTAAATTTATCCCCTCGTATAGGTGAGTCTAGTAATTTTATTTCCATCTGTAACTCTGACGTCAAGACTAAATAAAACTATCATGATAAGTTAACTCTGTCATCACTTTCCGACAAATCTACCAAGCAAAGTCTACCAAAATAAGTCTGCCAAATAAATCTATCCAACATGATCAAATTTGTTACCATAGTAAAAAAAATATATCTAACTAAGTCTGCCGTGGAATAAGTCTGCCAAATAAGTGTCACACATAATAACTCTGCCACCATATTCACCTATAACTCTGTCGTTCATGATCAACTCTGTCGCACCAACAAATCTATCATCATTAACCTGACAAATTTGCATTTTCAAACCAACAACTCTACCGCGGCACAAATCGTAATTACAAATTTGGTGCAAAAAAGATGTTTGCCGGCTCTGTAACAGGAACGAGCAAAGCACCAAAAGGGTTTCTTGCAGTGTACGTCAGTGAGAACCAGATGAACAAGCAGTGATACTCTGTGCTAGTCTTATATCTGAACAAGCCCTCGTGTACTAACTTATCCATAGCTTCTAATTGTACTAACTGATACAACAAATACAAATTTGGCCTGGTTCAGTTCTATCATGTTTCATTGGTTTCTTCTGATTTCTGTCCTATCTCTTGAATCTCTGTGGTTTTAAATAAAAGCCAAACATCTCCAAAACAAATTATAGTCTGATGGGGTCAGGTTTCAAGTTCTAAAACAGAGCACATGAAAAATGCAATATAGGTTGGAAATTTTTATGGCATGCCCAAACTACTCTGGTCTCATGTATTGATTATTTTCTTATTGTGTTTTATCTAAACAAGGCTCTGCAGATAGACTGTTGCAGCTAGCTATATAGATTTATTTATATATCGATTCAACTAGGAGAAACTTCTTATATACCTTAACAGGGGGTCTTGTTTTCTTGGTCTCGGTTGTAATAGCTATGCTTTACATGTGAGAACAGAACCATGTTGAAAAATCATCCTTGTATGTCCTACACTTGTAGACACCATTGCTTTCAATTGATTTCACGCAGTATTGAGGTTTCAGTTAATTCACTTGATCTATATGTACAGCCCCGAATGAGAAAAAATATCATCAACCACAAGAAATCTATATCTTGCTCCTCCTTAGTTCTTCCTTTAATCTCATACATCCGGAGCTGAATCAAATTTTCAGGAATCAAAATGGCTTTGGTGTGAAATCTCTTTGGTTGCAAAGAATATTATTGCCGGCTCTATAACAGGAAAGGGCAAAGAACCAAAGGGTTTCTTGCCGTGTATGTTGGTGAGAACAAGACGAAGAAGCAAAGATACTTCATGCCAATTTCATACCTAAAGCATCTTTAATTTCTGAGCCCTTCTTAGTAAACCAGAAGAAGAGTATGTATTCGATCTTTCGATGGGCGGTTAAATGATCCTATGTCCTGAAGATACTTTCTTATTGTAACTTCTAGGATCCAACTTTCCAGAGCCATGCCTCACTGCCTCTGTTAGTGGAAAAAAGGCAATACTACAACTATAATTTCAGTTTTTAGGCCACATATCAATAATAATATTAATTAAATTAGTGAAAGGTTTGTTGTTAGAGTTTTTAAGAGATTTTGTATTCATGAATTTAAGTCTTGTAATACTGATTTTTACTTTCAAATTATAATTTATCTGTCATCCTTTTACTATAAATCTAATGAACTTAATTTTAATTATCCACATATTATTAATTTTATATTCTACCATATAATATGTTTTGATAGGTATTAGGTACTTTAATATAATTTTATTTGACAAACTAATTAAAATATTTTATATATTTATTTATTTTATAAATAATTTTACATTTCAGTGATATAGATTTTACGATTATATTTATCTTCAAGTTTTATGATTTGTAAAAATTATACATTTATAAAAGGCCACAATTTTACAAATTGTCTTAGACCTCTAAATATGTTAGCACGACACTACCAAATTCCCAGGATTATCAATGATGACTGATGGTAGAAAAACTTAACTTGTTCTTATTGTGCATTTATTGACATATTTGTCCATCTTTCTAACCTTAAAGAAAAGTTCAATAATCATCAGTATGCCTTATATAATTTTCATCACAAATATCAAATATATTTTATTATTAGTGATCACATATCTTCTTAATTCGATTTAACGAGATCAAATACAAAATTAGCATATACAAAAACAACGACTTGTACAAATCATATGACACTTTGGATCACATATAAAAGCTTGTGGTTTTACAGCCTATTGTGAAAGTCCCACATCATCTGCAAGAATTGCATGAGATCGCTTTGACCACAGAACCACAAAAAAGTTACACCCTTCAAGCTGGTATGGATGCAATGAGCCTTTAAGAAATACAGAGTATGATCGAAGTATATGAAATCTCTATGATTTCTCTCATGTTCAACGTATTTGTCTTTGTGGTGATCAGAATTTATATCATCGAACCTTTAAATTTTGTTCTCGAAGGCTGAGATGTCTGATACAGATTCCCAATAACATTCATCATAAGAAAGTTTTTTGAACTTCACCAGATACTCTTTCCAATCATCTTCTCCCCTGCAAGAAATAATCTGGTCCACAAAGTCTTCTCCCTTGTAACTCGCTGACTCCATTTTAAAATGAAATTTCTTCACCCTTGTTTTTAAATGAGGGATGGATTTGTAGTGCAGTGCAGGTACGATAAGCCCTTCCAGTTCAATAGATATTGCTTGACAAACACTGGTGTTGGTACCACATTATTGGAATCCAGATCTATAGATGCCGTAGGACCCTTTTCACAGTTCAGAATCTTCTCAATTTTGATAAGAGGACTAACTGGTTTCCTTTTGGCTACCCCTTCAACCTGTTTAGCAGTCAGATCCTTGTTGAGAACAAAGTCTATTTCGGATTCGGAATCGGAATCACTATAGGTATAAACTGGTGTATGGTCTGGTCGTACACGTAGCCTATCAACCAAGCTAGCCATTTCTCTTCGATTGTCGGATTTGGTTTCCAGAGGAGGAATTAGAAAAGGCTTACACATCTATCCCTGATTTAAAAACAAGAGTGAGGAGATTTCATTTTAAAATGGAGTCAGTGAGTTACAAGGGATAAGACTTTGTGGCCATTCATCCTGAGGGGACCACTGTGGACCGGAGCATTTCTTAAAGAGGAGAAGATGATGGGAAGGAGTATCTGGTAAAGTTCAAAGAACTTTCTTCTGATGAATGTTATTGGGAATCTGAATCAGACATCTCAACCTTCTAAACGAAATTCAAAGGTTCGAGGATATAAATTATGGTCACTGCAGAAATAAAGATGTTGAACATGAGAGAGATCATAGAGATTACATTCCCTTCTATCATACTCCTGAATTTCTTAGGCATCAGAGCCACCTGATCTTTGGGTCCTCCCCGGTGGGAGGCCTCCCCGTGGATGTTTGTTCGCACAAATTATCACGCTTCAATCCTGAATGGCTTAAGCGTGAGGAGTATTATGTGAAAGTCCAACATCGGTAGTTGGAGAATTTGTAAAGCAGTATATAGATGATAAAGGTCAATCCACTTATCGCCAATTGGTTTTAAGTGAATTGGCATTTACCTTTTATATACTACTTTACAATTTCTTCAACTACTGATGTGGAACTTTCATAATACAGCCTGCGGTGAATTAGCTTCATCATCCAACATAAGCTGAGGAGCTTCTATAGGTAATAAACGCTTTGCTTCAACATTTGTAACTGTTACGATACTAATCACTGCAAACCAAGCCAAATATATATTGTTAAAAATATAAACTTGCACATATAGTTATTTTTTTCATACTTACGAAATATGAATATTACCGGATGCAATGGCTAAGAAGGCAACGAAATAAAACTTCATTGATATTTTCTCCATTATTTTGTCGAGAATACTATTACAAAAAAGATGTTGAAGGTGGTGTTATCCGAGATAGTTTTAGCTATTGTTGAACCGTTTTTATATCATGGATCAATGGTGTCTTTTTATTTTTTGCATATCTAATCTTTTTTTGGTCAAAAATTAAATACTGAAGAAGAAATTAATTTTATTTAGAGATTACCAAATGCGATCAATATTAAACCATATTTAGTGAAAAAATGTAAGACTAAATCTGCAGCCTAGAAGGGGAGTAATTGATATACTAGGACCAAAATAATGGTTGAGATCAAGCAGAGATAGATGGTTTTTAACCGAGAAAATGTTCGATCGGCATTAAAAATATAGATTTACATCACAATTTTCCATATAAAGATGGATTCTTCGATGATTGATTTAAAGTTAATGTTGCTACTGTTCAAATTTTACATATGATTAACAAAATTAAAAAAAAACTAATGTGTATTGCACTATTTTGTAAGTTGGATTTGGCTTTTTTGTTTCAAAAAAGTTTACTCGTGAAAATCTAGTGAAATTCATTTCAAATTATTCAGCATTTAATGATTACTTTAAAGACCAGTTTCTGATAGCCAAACCTCTCTATTAACAAGTTTCTATTACAATCTCTCCAAGAACATATCCCGTGACAAATGTTATATAGATTTGTAGTTTCTATAGCCTAGCTAATCTGGTCCCATGTATTTGATTTTATTTTTTTAACTGATCATGGATTTACAGATAATTATACATCAATCAACACAGATAAACTTTTTTGATGGCCGTAACATGTGATCTTGTTCTCTAGGGTCTATTTGAGTACAGATTGTAAAAGCTCTGCTTTATATGCGAAAACAGAAATATGTGGAAACTTTTTCCTTGTGTGTCTCACACTTCAAGAAATCATTGTTTCCTTGTTTCAACTCATTCAATTCATCTATATATACAACTCCGAATCAGAAAGAATATCATTAAGCCCTTCCATTTATCTTATACAGGAGTTTCAAGAATCAAGCTTCCATAAATACAAAATGGCTTTGATGAGAAGTCTATTTGGTGCAAGAAGATGTTTTCCGGCTTTGTAAAAGGAACGAGCAAAGCACCAAAAGGGTTTCTTGCAGTGTACGTCGGTGAGAACCAGATGAACAAGCAGGGATACTTCGTTCTAAGCTCCTCTCCGTAAGGCCGAGGAAGAGTTTGGATTTGATCATCCGATGGGTGACTTGATGATTCGTTGTCCTAAACATACTTTTATTAGTATAACTTCACGTATACATGGATGATCGTCATAGAAAAAGGTTTAACATTTTTTTGCTGTACATAGTTTGACAAATTTTCATCTATTTATCCATTATTCCAATCTATAGAGATTTCGATGTGGATTCCAATTTAGTATAATAAAAGATGGTATCAAGCATATAATTGAAAAAGAAAATCATCAAATTTGTTCATCTTGAGTTTATTAACAGGTATATATAGTACATACTATGAATTCGAAACAAACATTAATTTTCAAAGTTTTGACTGAGAACAAAAATACTTTTAAGTAAAGAGAAGCCAATAATCTTCAACATATATATCATATCGGTAGTATATTGTTTCTTGTGTAATCTTTCTCCATACAATTCCCAAATGATTAATGTATACGTAACAAATGTTAAATAAGTTCTTATTACTGAAATATATATGAATTATTCCATTAGACAAGAGAAGCTCAAAATTAGCACAAACAAACACAGCGAATAACTAGTTGAATGGGAATACAGCTCACATGACATCCTTCCTTACAGTGAAAGCCTTGTGGTTTTGCCATTCGCAACGCATTAACTTCATCATGCAACACATTCTGAAGAGTTTCTTCAGATAATAAACGTTTTGCCTCAACATTTTGAACTGTTACAGTACTCATCACTACAAAAGCAAAGCCAAAACCAATATATGTTGTTAGAAATAAATAAAAAATATATTTAGAACTTTTATTGAGTTTTTTATACATAAAAATTATGAAATTTACCGGATATGAATGTCAATATTACAATGAAAGCAAACTTCATAGATATTTTCTCCATTGTTTTACTTGTAGAGAATAATCTTACAAAAAGATGTTGAAAATATTGGTTTTTGAGGATATTTTAGCTAGTGTGGAACAGTTTTTATAGAATGTACAAATGGTGTATCGTTTTAATTTATAGACTTACCAAAAAAGTTTTGGTCAACTTAACCAATTACATAAGAAAATGCCAGAATTTGTTTCTAATTTGCTACCAAATTAGACAAAAAAATATATAGACAAAAATCTGTTTTTTCCCAAATTCAATAAAATCAGTATATACAATCAAATTATTATTTAAACAAACCCATAAAATAAATTAACATTTTAAATCTTTCTAAGCAAAAGTATTTTTTCAAGAGGATACAAATTTAGATGTGAATGCGACTTTCGTGTAATAAACAATAGTACAATCATATATTCCAGGAAAAAATTTCAGAGTACTTTATTCATCTAGTGTGTTTATCAACAGTTAAAAATTGTACTATGAATCCCAAAAATGTACATAAATTGATGGAAAATTAACTGTTTGATTTACATATTGCTTGAATCCTTTAAATTGATGGTTGAGGTGAGAGAGACGGCGTTTAAGCTTAACGACAGTTTAAATAATTTGAAACCTAAATAATTTTGGCATCACATATTACATTAATTACGATAATAAGCATTTATCTCTTGTTACAACTTGGAATGGAAAACAGAAAAATCTCATCTAAATATGGTCCATGTAATCAACAAATTATTAGTCACTACTCCATATCTGGTTCATATAAGAAAAATGTATCGGGTTCTTCCTCGGAAATTTTGTAAACATAATCTTCTATTTTTTACTTTCTACACACAAAAAAATATTTCTCCCATCTCAGAAAAAGTAGAGGAGAGGCCGTTAGCTGAAGTTTTTTCGAACGAATATCATCAAATTTGTAATGTCTTGACCGCCATTATTTGTGGATCTTACACCTGCTCTAATGGATCCCACTTTCTTCTGATTAGGCTTGAATAGATATACTAAGGATGGGTGCGCAAATTAAATAATTGGTAAAAATATGAAAGAAAAAACTCACCAATGAAACTAGATACGCGTTATAAACTTATCATAAGTTTTTGTTGTAGAAAATATCTTAAAGGAATTCCTTCAAGAACTTCTTATCGCTCTGGTTTGCTCATGACGAATCAACATATTGAATAATCTCTCTTTATCGGGTTTTAGATAGGCTTTTTGACTCTTTTTGGGCCTTTCCAAAGAAATTAGCTTCGCCGAGCTGATGTAAACAATCTTTCTTTTGGTAAATTAAATATGTAACTCTAAGAATATAGATATTAATTTAGATTATTTTGGATTTCCTAAAATATAGATTAGGTTACGCATAAAAACATCAGTTACTATTGTGTATTTTTACAAACACAATAAACATGAAATTAATTTAGATTTAATTTAAATATCTAAATTTTAAAAAATTTAGATGATAAAGAAATATATTATTATATAATTTTATCGTATCAAGATATAATTTTTGTGGATTTCTTAAATATAGGTTAAAAAACTAATCAAAAATCATAAATTCTATTATTATTGTATATTTACAAAAAAAAAATAAACATGATATTAATTTAAATTTAAATTAAATATTTAAATTTAAATATTAATCTCATAATAATAGAAATAATAAAAGAATATGTTATTTACAAGGTTTTTCACAAAGATCTCAAATTAATTATGAAGAGACATACTCTTCTATATGGTTGGATGCAACTATGTACGTTCAGGCTCCTTGTATGTCTGGTGATAAAAAATAAATTGATTTACATTTGATGGATGTAGTCACATTTGATGGATGTAGTCACAGCCTATTTATATGGTCTATTAATATTTACATAAAAGTTCGAAAGGATTTAAACTGCCAGCTACAGCAAATCCTAGTTCTCCAGAACAATACTGCATAAACTTAAATTGATTTCTTTATGGACTGAATCAATCAGGGCGTACGTGGTATTCCTCTTAGTGAGTAAGATAAGGATACAAGAATGACCCTATCAGTC